CTCCGTCTTTACGACAAACGTTCTGGAAAATATTAGCGTTTCGTGTTTGTTTTGACTTCGTGTGGACGGGGCCTAATTCCTGAGGATTTGACTCAAAGTTGCATATTTTCCTGAAAGGGTGGCAATAATAAGAAGAATTTTTGGCACATTTAAAACAAGTATGTTTAAAAATAAATAAAACCTGCTTAAAAGATTTAAATCTAGGATGATAAAAAAAACAAAAAACATCCTATCTTTCAGAATCAGGACTGAAATAGTTCCTGACATAAAGTTATAAATGGTTGGCTTACAGCAGAATAGTACCTGGTTCGCTTTTTATAGACTAGAGTTAAAGTACCTGCAGATAAATAGACTGAAAGCGTCCATTTTACCGTTGACCCAGTTACAGGAGGTTCGGTAAAGATGGGCGGGCTAAGGGTTTGTGTTTTCTTCGTCTTATTTGTTGTCTGTAGTTGTGGATCCACAACTTGTTTAGACTTTGACTACTTTTGCAGTGTTCTAAGTAAGGAGGAACGAACGCTGCTCTAGCAGAACAGGGCAGAATGCTGCTGCATTAGGGCTTCATGATCAACTGTTCTCTCTTTTTCCCACGACACCTGGAAGAGTAGAATTAATAGTTAGATGCTGATTTGTTTATTAAAAAGGATCCCCTGAACTAATGGCCGAGTTTTATGACAAACATTCAAATTGTGTTTTTCATGGTACAGTCGCCGTTCCCATCTTCCTTAAGCGTGTTTTGTCGTCTTCTTCTGCGTTTTCTCATGTTTGTCTCCGGTCACTTTCCAGTTTACCAGATCATCCAGTCAGATTGGTTTAAAGTTTTCTATCCCGGTATCGCTCTGTTTCATTGCCCTGCTGAAATTAAGCTAGGTGGTAAAGTATCTGAAACCCCCATCTTCTAGTTGCCTCTGTCAGCCCCCCCCCCTTCACTATTCTCCTCCCCTCCCACTCTTACAGCTTGTCTGGAGGAAATAAACGTGTGGATGCTGCAAGGTTTCTCCATCACCATAACGTTCCCTGGCCAGGATGTTTCCCTTTGCAGCAGAGTCACCAATCTTATTCAAATTTCCAGGATTTGCACCAACAGTTTGGGAGGCAGAGACCAATCGACTCGGGAATACTTTACCTTTAAATCTGAGGCGGACATGCTTTAAATCTGGCCTCCAACCTTTCTTTTTACACAGTTTTAATTAGGGATGCACCATATCAGGATTTTGGCCGATATCCGATATGCCGATATTTTTAAA